TTGGTCTTTAATCTGTTTTTAACAAAAACCGTTAATCACTATTTGATATATTACGCAACAGTGTGAAGAAGACATAAATGAGAACTGAAATTGAAATCTTTAGTCCATATAAGAGCATGAAACATCCCTATGAAATTTCAGCTTCCTATCTTGTCTGGACCCCGAAATCACTTTCTTTTTTCAAAAATATACGTTTTCTTTCCAGCGTCCGTTTCGTGAAGCTCAAACACGCATAATGACAGTTTAAAATAGAAGAATCGCACATGGATGGGGATAAAAACTGCGGTCGTTTGAAGGCCGAACTGTAATATTAAAACAAGTGAAGTGGACGGTCCAAAAAAATTAAAATGTGGAACAGCCAGAGTCAGGACGTTTAAACGAAGGGTGGGATAAGTTTGTTAATTTGCGTCCATTGGTAGGCCGAGTCGTAGTCTTTAAAGAAAGTGAGTGGTTTGACGCATAAAATATGTGGAAAGGCTGCAGTTCGAAAATGAAAACATAGGGGGAGGAGATAGTTTAACAAGTTATGATGGAAAAGATAGTAGGGTTGCAAAAGTGGCAAAAAACCGTATGACATATCGAAACTTCATGTGGAAACGCATACATAGGAAATATGGGAACATGCTCCAAAAGTTTCAGCTTCCTAGCCTCTCCGATTGCTGAGTTGAAATTGGGTGACAGAATGCGAACATATACACATGGAGAACTCAAGAGTATTGCACCGGTGACCGTACTCACCTCGTCAACACCACTGTGTTGAAGGCAATGACATACGGATGCGAAACATGGTCACTAACGAAAGTTGAAGAGCGAGCGCTGGCTGTGACGGAGAGAGCGACGGAGCAAAAGATGCTTGAAACAGGGGAAAAACCATCCCATCACCCCACTGCCCAACCATCCCATCCCCCCACTGCTCAACTACCATCCCATCCCCTCACTGCTCAGCAACTACCATCCCATTCCCCCACTGCTCAACTACCATCCCATCCCCCCACTGCTCAACTACCATCCCATCCCCCCACTGCCCAACCGTCCCATCCCCCACTGCTCATCAACTACCATCCCATCCCCCACTGCTCAACAACTACCATCCCATCCCCCACTGTTCAACAACTACCATCCCATCCCCCCACTGCTCAACAACTACCATCCCATCCCCCACTGCTCAATCATCCCATCCCCTGCCCCCCTGCCCGACCATACAAATAATCAGTCTCTCCATTAGATGAGCGGCGTGCAGGATATCATTACGACCATAACAAAAAGTAAAATTCGACAAACAGGACATGTTGCTCGCCTTGCTGACAATCGATGGATGATGTCCCTTAGGAAACTCTGCTACTAGTACGACCGGTTGATAAAACGGCAAGAAGTCGCTGCACGACACGAAGCCATTCACCGACCCTGTACTAAGGCACTCCTGCAGTACCGTTGGGGTTAATTAAAAAAGGAATGAGGTCCCGACGTGCACGGGACTCCCCAGATGACAATGCGGCCGAACCTGGGACGGCCGAATCGGTCAACACGGCGGAACTAAAAAATGGAACTACGATTAACTCGGCCACCATAGATCGCACGGACGTTGACGCGGCCGCACGCAACCCATCACGGAATATGGCCTAGCCAGCGGGTGAGTGGTATGCCCAAGAAAGTAAACGTCTACTCGGGCGACCCCGAAGAGATGGCGCACATACACAGAACAGGCAATGGGTACTAACTAGAGGCATGCAGCTCGAGAACAAAGGACCTGGCATACTGCAGTCGGCGTGTAAAAACATCCTAATAATATCACCAACAGAGGAATGCTACACTGGTAATCCGAACGGTCTTGGGATTCTTGGTAGAGACAATATATATATATAGTATATAGTATATATATATATATATACATATACGCCAGAAAAAGAAGTTGGGTTAGTCATGTAGCAAGGATGTCAGACAACCGATGGACGAAGCGGATAATGGAGTGGTACCCACGCGCGA